ATATATGGCAAAACTAAATGTTAATAAATACGTTTTATAATATAAAATCATGGTTTATTTTGTCCAGCAATTGCAAATACACACTACCCTACCACGTGACCCCGTTTAAAAGGGAAACAGGGTACAGTTAAGTTGCAAATGGAGGACGTGGGTATAATTCCATATTTCTGAACGTAAAATACACTTAACATTTATTTCTAGTATTCTACCAGACATAAAAATGATTAATCAAGCAGTTTGTAGAATATTGTTGGCAAAAAAACATATAGGCAAAGAGAGATAATACTGGGAGCCATGAAGTAAAACTTGATACAATGCAACAATACAAGATTCATTTCAGTAAATCTATCAACGTACAGGGAGCGTGTATTTCTAAAATCTTGAGAAGTCTTCCCAGAAATGTATCTTTACATCATAATTCAAGATATGACCGTCTGAAATTTTTTTTTTTTATTTTTTTTTTATTATCATAGTAATTTTTTTACAAAGATTTTTCAAAAAGTTGCCGAAGCAAACATTATTGGCAACTATACATATAAACACACTACAATAAAATTATACAAAAATAGACCGATTTTGACAATACAAAAATGGGCTGCTAGTGGTTGGTTGGTAGTTTGGTTGGAGTAGGTGAAAAGAATAGGAAGCATGATCTTATTCAACAAGTTTGATAGATTCATTAATAAAGGTACTTGTAATAGACAAAACTTCTCTATTTGTTTCAATATTTAAAAAGTTAATTCCATACAAAAGAGTTTCAATTTTATCATCTTGTTTCAAATTGTTAAAGGAGAAATTTATGTCATGCATGGTAAATAATCCATTTAGCCTGTCAAGCATTTGGTGTCTTATATCATTGTTGAGGCGACAGTGTAAGAGGAAATGCTTTGTGGTTTGTTTTAAACCACATCTACATACATCAGAATCGATAGTTGTAAAAGAGTGGGCCATTTTATGTGCATTTAACAAGAGGCCAACACGTAATTGGTTCAGTTTGATTTCTAAATTACGGGGAAGAGATAAATTTTGTGAATTTGTCTGAATATTTTGAAAATTTTGGAAGTGCTTTTTGATTTGGCCTTTGAAAGAAGAGATAGTAGGCACCTGCCTGAGCTGTAATGGTAAGGAGTCCCAAATTTTAGAAAAAAGGATACCGTCTGAAATCGTTTGCGATAACTTATGTGCTCCTTTAGAAAACGTTGTTTACTAACCTCATTTTCGATGACTTTTCCGTATTGTATACGTAGCATGTCTTTTACTTTTCGAAGGCAAACTGCATACGTTTGGAAAAGATTTGAATCGCCTAATCCCCTTGCAGAAATGAATTCCGTCTCCATTTGCTGGACTTCGTTTGCCTTTAAAGTAAAATTGAAGAAAGAAAAGTTTGATGAAATTTTTCAAACATTGTGTGAGTCATTTACACTAGAACTGCACTCCTCAAACTGGTTACCCCCCTATCACACTAAACTAGTTCTTACCCGTCCTTGCCAGTCCTACGAAAACGTCGTAAAACGGGCTCAATCTGGGTGTGGTCGGGAAATATGTCTAAAATAATTAGCTACTTCGTTCATAAACACTCTTCAATACGTCGATCTCATTCGCAGTTTGTTCAGGTCGCACCACGTCGGTGTGCAACGTCGTATAACGCGTCCCTTAGTCTAGAAGGTCATCATGACCTGATTACAGAACGGTATGGTCGTCATCGAATTTTGAATCGATTCAAAATTCTAAAACCACTTTCCCGTCTGAGAACGTTCATGAAGTTCGTGAATAAACCTTAGAAAGTTGCAGCTACGTTCATCCCGTTCACAAACAGTTTTAAACCAGTTTTGAAGAACGCAGATGCAACTTGTTTGGGGTGATAGCTATATTTTTGCTAACTCGTCCATAAGCAGTCTTAAATACGTTCTTAATCAGTTTAAACTCGTTTGCAATTAGTTCTACCTCGTTCTCAATACGTCCTCAGACAGTTCAACTCGTTGTTGAAACGTCCCTGGTAGGATTGAAGTACGACGGTTCCGTTCGTATTCCGTCCAGCTCGTCGTTAGTACGGTGTCACTCGTTCTAATTGTAGAACGTATCGACCACGAGAACATTTTGAGCATGTTCTAAGTTCTAGAGGACCTACCCGTTCGAGTACATCGATGAAGTTTGTAAATAGACTCCAAACGGTTCTGAGTACGTCCAGTCCGTTTGTACACAGTTGAAGCATGTTTTCGAGAACGTAGTGAAAACTAGTTTGGTGTGATAGTAGGGTAACGAAACGCATCAAAACGGATCGGTTTGGGCAACAGCGTAAGATTTCGAGTGCAGTTCCAGTGATTAGAGAGATTTTTCTCATAAATAAAAGCATAAATTAAATTGAGATTTGCCGTTTTGTAAAAATATGTACTTATACCTATAGAAATGTATATTTTATCGATCAAATATAATGTTCTTTTCAAAGAAAATTAACAATCTTCTCCTCCTAGTTCCCTGTTAATGAGGTACAATTGATGGTAATATGACCCCATGCCAAGTATCTCTATCATTCCTTCCAAACTATTTCTAAACGGGATTAAGAGTTTCACACTTATAAACAACGTTTTATGAGCGATTGCTCCTAAGAGCTGCGAAACAAAGGATGACGTAGTACAAATATCTAAGCACAAGTGCCAAAGGGAAAGGACCAAAAGTTGTAATGGAACTTAGCAAGAAAAAGCAAACTCTAAGTGCATACCAGTCAAGAAAAACAAACCCCATATATCCAAAAACCATGATCTAACGTGAAAAGAAACAATGGCTAATACCCCCTTTCCCCCGCCATTCAAGAGCCGATATCACAATCCAAGACCAGAACACCAAGGGACATTTCATTCATACTGAAGTCATTACAATACATGTTGAAGAAAAAATTAGAAATTGATAGCCAATACTCATAACATCAAAAATAGTTGTAGATACAAGTACTCATACAAGATAAAGCATTCAGTCTCAAATGATGTGGGATAGATAAAATCCAGTCTTCAAGTCCATATTAGGCATTTCAAAGGGCCAACATCCATTCACAATCCATAATCCATAAAACACAATAATTCACAATGGTCAGCAGGAGAAACTATGGCTGGTTTCTATCCCTATTCCTCAACCATTAATGCCATAGCCGGATCCACCTCAAAAGGTACCAAGTGAAAATATTGTTAGTTCAGCGCCAATGTCTTAAACAATGCCTACATCCTTCAGCATCTCAAGTGTTAAAACTTGAAACTTCGAAATTAATGATTTGTATTTTTCAGCAAAGCCCTGAAAGCATTTCTTAAGCTTTATACAAGTATAACCTTGACCTAACAGTTGACTTAAAATCTAAATATTTAGAGCATGCCCTGCCATATCTAATAAGCTGGGATACATAGACCCCATATGCTGGGTTTAATGGAATAATATTACTGTCTAAATGGTGAAAATTCACAATATCAAAGTTGAAATCATCTGGTTTATCATACAACTTGCAATATATAGTGTTGTATTGTTCAATGTTAATGAGAAGGTCAAGATAAGGCGCATTCATGTTCGATTCATTGGTCTTTTTTATCTCTAACTCGGAAGGGTATATCTCATTTACAAAATCTTCAAATCCAGGGTTGTCCAAACTCAACAGGTCACCTATATACCTATCTGTTTAGCTATGTGGAATTTGCTCTTATCTTTCATTATCTTTTGCAAAAACTTGTATTCATATGAGAATAGAAAAAGGTCTGCCAAAAGAGAAGCAAAATCTGTCCCCACTGGTCTTCCGATATTTTGACGTAAAACAGTCTAGAAACAGTCTATACAACATAAGAAATTTATAAACATGCTTTAAATGCGTTGCGATCGACTGATGTATAAAGCCTTAAAAAATATGTCATAAATTAATTCATCTTGCGCGTGAGACTTAGGATAAAATTTCTTGAATCGATGAATATGCAAAAATTATTCTTAGCATATCATCCTTCATTTCATTATTTGAATAATCAATCGGGAGAAATATTCAAATAAGGAAGTGTGTTATAACACATCATCATATAGAAACATGTCCAATGTTTTTTCAGAAGCTGGATAAAAATATTTGTCTTGCTAAAATTATTGGCAAGGGTATGATGTACTAAATACTTGTACTGTATTTATGATTTTAATAGCACTGTATACCTCATGAAGCATTACTGATAAACAAGATACAGAAAACCTGTTCAAAGTAAATGCTATAATAAGGGCATCATAGAAATTATCATAAAGAGAGGTATTTAGAACTCCTTAGCAACTTACACACACACACGCACACACGCACGCACGCACGCACGCACACACACACACACACACACACACAGAGAGATTTAACTGCTCTCAAACATTAAACAGTCAACTTGACAGGTATTCAGAATTGTTTGGAAAATGCTGAGGTTATGCTCCATTGATCAAACAGGGGATCAAACAGCAGGGGGTCAAACAAGTCCAACCATTCATTTATGAAAACATTTCGAACTAACTTTATGGCACACTAATGACATCTTATATGAATGTGCTGTACTAAAAGCATAGCCCCATTGGATCCCCTTTTATTGGATTATCATAATCCTAATCCAGAAGGAGTTCCTTATATATTTTAAGTGATGAAACATGTGTTCAAGTACAATGTAACTTTGCATGAAAAATTGTAAAAAAATGAGGGACGATGGTGAAAATGACGATTGTATTTTGAAAAAAGCTTGTTGATGGGTGGATTAAACATGGCTTATGAGATAATCCAATTGATCTTGAAACCATTCTTTGAATTTTTCTTAAAGATTATACATTGGCCTTTCATATGCATTCATTTTTATACAGCCAGAAACTACTAGAAAAAAATATTTACTGTCAAAAATCTGTTGCGATACTTTCCCTCCTTCTTTGTTACCATTCAAATAATAATAATGAACCTACTTTGTAGACTCCTACAGAGTCAGGCGATATCTGTACAGTGTACCAAGTATCTTTATCATTGGGAATTAAGGCGAACACAACAAAAATGTCACCAGCTGATGCGCCAGTAAACTTGACACAACTCCCTTCTTCTGTCGGGTTAAGGCTGTGAACGTTTGACCATGTAACTTCACAGGGTAGTGCCACTTTTGAGGATGTAATGTCTTTGTTAGACCTATATATATATATATATACATTCGTAATTAATTGATAAAAAATCTGGAATTATATCAATGCTAAGATCGTTTAACTTTGAATGTTCAACCTTACTTGACCTAGATGTATATCCTATTATTTCGTGCATTCAGTGTTGAAGAAAAACTAATATGCAAATCAATACATAATACATTAAAGGGATATTCTTTACCAGTCCATTTTTCTCCTGATATGGTAGCTATAACCACATATGTTCTATCCATGTTTAACAAAACACGGAAAAATGTTTTCATATGGTCAATATTGATCACACAAAAATGCAGTGCTCAATTTCAGGAGACTGCCATCTTTTAAGATTTCACTCAAGAAGTGATGTCATTGTCTGTGATATAATCCTTCTATTTTTTTTTTATTATAATCTGACAAGTTCTTAAAATATTGTCATATATAAAGTAAGGATTATTTGTCTAGAAGAGATTTTGTGCTACTTTCCTTTACTGTAATGAGCAAGGTTATGAAAGATAAAAGTTGATGTCATCACTTCCCGAGTGAAAGTTCAAAAGAAGACAGCTTCCATGAAATGAGCACTATATATTTAAATGATCAATATTGACGGTATTGGAACATGTTCCCACGTTTTGCTATATATGACCAGTATGGATATGATTATAGCTACAATATAAGCCGAGGATATAAATGGTCTGGGCAGGAATGTCCCTTTAATATGTAAGGATTTATTATCAAATAAGCTGGCGTATAATACTATAGAATTAGTGTTAATGTTTTGGGAGGTTGGGTTTTTTTGCTAAAATTTAAATAATCATATTTCAATGAGACATTACTTGTCTTTTGTTGACTTCGACAGTAACTCAACTCGTGCTATGAGTCTTCCAACTAATTTATCCGAAATAGTAATGCTATCTGCCTTCATTACAGTAAAGTCGTTGTTCGTTATCATAAACATTCCGTTGTTCTCGTTATAAGTCATCAGCAGCCCATTTACAGATATCTGTAAGTTAAAACACTAAAAGTTATTTCATAATAATCTTTAAACAACATTCAATTGACATCATTAGTTGAATGATAAACCTTGGGTATTATGTGAGATAATGTATTTATCTCCTAATACCAAGGGTGAATTCTCTTGTTGACCTAAACCCAACACTGAATCTTATGAAAGGAAAATGGTACATAATCTAATCTGGAAAATGTTATTTTTTGCTTCTACTTGTTAACTATATGCATGTGAGTTGAGACATGGAAGTGGGTAAGATGGCTATTATTAGTCCAACTTTAATGCACTGCACATATTTACCATTCAACTATTGAGTTAGTAAATAGAAGTGATTCGTTCAGGTTCAGTGTACTGTATGTGACATTCCATATGTAGCAACACAAATACATTTATTGTAATAAATTTGTTCCATTTTAAAGAATGGACTGCAAAGTTAAGTTTGATATAGCAGCCTTTCAAATCTAACTGAAGTCTCATTTTATGATATTTTAAGAGATTTGCAAGTTATCTATTAATCTATTGGGCAGTGACACAAAACTTTTACAGTATGGATATGCTCACCCTTTTCAATGTTAGGTCAGACGTACTCTTTCCGTTATCAAAGCCATCATACAAATGTAATACATTCTCATCCCTTTGGGTGTACCACCTTTTATGTTTTAAAAACACTTGAACGATGTCATCGGAGGCGACTATTCCTGTGATATCACGTTCCATATCGAAGATGACTCTAAATGGACTACCAGATTTCAGATTTTCCCAAGTTGGAAAAGACTTTTTATCTAAGGCGGTAATAGAAGTATCACATCCGGGTTGTCCTCCTAGAATTAATTGTTCCGTAGCTGGTATGGGCCCCTGTGAAAAAAGTAAATATGTGATCTGTGCTAAAAAGGAGAGAGCAGATTCAATTTGAAGACACATTTAGAAGAATGTGATTTTAACTCGTCAGAAGAAAAGAACGAACTACCCCATATCGTATGTAGGCGTATGATAATGAAATGCATATAGATTGCAATGAGGGGAGTATAGCATTTCTAAAGTGCCTTTTTTCAATTTTTCTATTTTATGTTTGATATTTAATTATTTTGCTTAAAGGTCGACGTGCAGTTTGGCAAGTGATTTAAACGGTGAGATCTTTCACTGAATATGAGAACTTCCTTGGCAAATATGCAGTTGTTTTTATCAAAACAATATGTTTTCTTTCAATTAAAGTCCTCATGAAAGGAGAATATCAAACCTTAAAATTCTCTGAAAAATTATGGATTAGGACCCCACCTTGTCTTTTTTCAAAATGTTCGTTTTTCCTAAAAAGAGGATCTTGTTTTTCTCAATTAAACATATCAACAGTTTCTTCTGCGCTTTATTAACACTTTTTGAAAAGGGTTTTGAAATGCGCTTAAGTTACTAACCAAATATCCCATGTTGTTTTCCCAGAGGCAAAAACTCGTGCTGTCCATTGTTTTCAGCATAATCTTGGTCATCGAGAATTGATCTTTTCAGAAAAAAGACTTCCAAAACCATTCTACTTTTAAATTACTTGTTTGATGGACTTAGAGACTGGATCTTATCTATCTCACATCATTTGAGACTGAATGTTACATCTTGTATGAGTACTTGTTTCTAAAACTATTTTTGATGTTATGAGTATTGGATATCAATTTCTAATTTTTTTCTTCAAAATGTATTGTATTGACTTCAGTATGAACGAAATGTCCCTTGGTGTTCTGGTCTTGGATTGTGATATCGGTTCTTGAATGGTGGGGAAAGGGGGTATTGGACATTGTTTCTTTCTCTTTCTCTTGCTTAGTTCCATTCATATTTTGGTCCTTTGCCTTTGGTACTCGTGTTTTTAGATATTTAAAGAAACTATAGATCCCTTGTTGAATAATCTTTTCATGCAATAAAAATTACAAAGAGTAAATCCTCTTCTGAGTAAATAGGTTCAACATTTTGAAAAGTTTGACAAGGGGTCCCTATTCATAGTTTTTCGAATTGTTCGACATATATTTCTAGCATCATGGAGACTTCACTTTAAAACTACTGTATTTATGCCCAGAAAGTACTCATGGTGAAGGATATGACCGTCGAAAATCACTTGCCATAACGCACATGGACCTTGTCATTTTCAATTCGGATTTTGAAATGTTTGTTCAATCGTTTGAATTCTATGATTGATATTTTTGTTTGACAGTGCAGTTTTCAATTCAAAATTTCAATTTTTAGTAATGTTGATTTAAAAAATATGTTTGAAACAATTTCAAAACTAGCTTATTTATATGAAACTGCGAAAAATGATTTTGAAAAGCAAAAACTAAACATTAAATACCTAAAATAAAGATGTCAAAGAAAGAAACTGAAACTTGTTTTTCTTATTTTAAGTTCCTATTTTCTATGAATTTTGTTTAATGATTGCTTTGAAAATATTGCTTTGATTTTACTTTTTCTCATATTTGAAACATTTGTTCTTGCTTGATGTTTTAAAAATTATTTAGAATATTTGAAATATATCGAATGTAATATAGATATTAAATTTTGAGCCATTTCTTATACTACAGGGTGGGCCAATAAAAACGTCCATAGTTTTATTTTTCTAATATCTTCGCTGGTATGTTGCAAATAGACATTAATCATATATCATTTGAAAGATAATTCAATTTCCAACAAAATGATGTATGATTCATAATATATGAATGGCTATTGGTGACTTCCGAATGGTCATTTCCGTATCATCCGTTTTGAGCGTAATACATGATATCGCATTGCTTAACCAACACTTTTAGACTTTTACATATGAAGAAAAGGTATTAGAGTTGAGTTTTATTGTTTGTTAATCATTGTATAGCTCGATCTAGAATAATCATGGGAGCTATTTTTATGTATTGCTGTTTGTTATAAAGAAAGATTGTTAGATAAATTGATATTTGCTTCAAACATGATTTGCAAAGAAACTCGGTTGAAATTTTGCCATAACCCATGACGTGGGTTGAAGTGAATACATTTCCATAATTTTCTCTTCTGGTGTATATTATTGCATTGTCTGCCATTCATAATGACAGTTAAATTAAGTTACATAAGTACAACATCATTATTGATCACTCATGTTAATTCTAGCCTATAATAGGCATTATCTCCAAAATGTCTTGAAATGAGTAAATATTAACTATTTGATACAGATTTTTTCTGCGTTATTTAGGCTATAATATTAAATACCTTTCAAAATGGTAAAAAACTGAACAATATTGTATTTGTAAATTAATTTGCTTTCATTTGATACATGAAGAACAATTTTGACCTTCTATAATTAGACCGATAAGCCCAAAGCTGACAGAGAGGTTATATCTGCCTGGTCAGCTTTTAGCATTCCGTATTCAGCAATCGGTAAATCATGATTTTGACCCCTGTGCTAATCAAAACTTTATTTTGAAACAAATGTTTATTTATGTGAAATAAATTATATATCGTATTGATGGAAATTGAATTGTCTTTCCAATAATATATGATTAAACAATTTTCTGTTATATTGAAAATGCTGTAGCAAAAACAAAAACATGGACGTTTTTGGCCCACCCTGTACGAATGTAAGCAAACATCTTCTTCTTGGATACCAATGTAAATATTTTTTCCCTCACCTCCTCCATGTAAACCGCAATAGCTCTTTCCAATGCAAGTCTTCGCATGTCAAACTGTTCTTGAAATTCTTTCTTGCTTGTCCCATACTTGCAATAATTCTTTACTGTTTTACTTTTGTTTTCAACCGTCTTTGTACTTTCAAAGTAGTATTTTCCCGTGGCAGAGTCCTTCTTAACACTAAGAAAAAATGGTATGTAGTGCAAAAAATGTATCCAATTTGCCATTTTGGTCAATAAGAAAGTGGTACGTAATAATACCTATTTAGATATCTAACTTAAATAATTTCCAAACAAAACCATGTTGAGCAGTGAACTTGACTGCAGCTTTTGATTATTGATGAGCATCAAAGGAGCGGGGAAAGTATCGCAACAGACTTTTGATTATTTTGACAGTAGATAACTTTTTTGTGAGTAGTTTCTGGCTGTAAAAAGTAAATGCTTGGGAAAGGCGAATCTATAATCTTCAAGAAAAGTTCAAAGAATAGTTTCCAGATCAATTGGATTATCTTATAATCCATGTTTAATCCACCCATCAACAAGCTTTTTTCAAAATACATTCATCATTTTCACCATCGTCCCTCATTTTTTTACAATTTTTCATGCAAAGTTACATTGTACTTGAACACATGTTTCATCAAGTAAAATATGTAAGGAACTCCATGAAGTTTGTTTTTGAGTTTTTTTTGAAAAAATGAACCTCTTAAAATGCATGTTTACAAAAATAATTTAGGAGTGATGTAAAAGATGGCAATGTTTTTCAATAATAACATGCATAGGTGGGTGAATTACTCATGTGTGTTGTGTTTTAATCCTGCATTCACTGACTGAGTTAGCCTATTGAAAAATCATAGAGATTAATAATACAAACAGTAATACTATGAATACTTCTACTTCAAGCTCAAATAGCGCTTTCAGGGTCCTGTGTTGAAATACTAGATCACCTTATGTGCATGAATTTTCAAGAGAAACCATCAGTGCAAGCAATTAAATGAAAGCATCATCCGAACATCACTTGAAAAGTACTAAAGTGGTGAAAAATTGCAGGATGTTGACAGAAAATGTGCCTATGGGAGAGGGTCGTCTCTCAACCCCCCTCCTCCCCCTCCCTGGTCACGGGACTAATAAATGTGATATGGCAAAGTCCAATTCATAGATTAAGTTTCCCTTGCAGTCTTGTTGGCATTTTTATTAGAGTTCATGTTTTGTTTATGTTAATGGGTGAGTGGAAGACCCTTGGGTGGGAATCAAATATAAAATGTTTTCTAAAATATATATTTGAAATACTTTGTGTATGTACAGTCACAAACTCTAGGCAACATTAACTAGTAATGGGGCAACACCCCAACTCAATTGAGTGAATGTGTAAACCATATAAGGAACAAAAAAACATTACATAAAACAAACTCAGCATGCAAACATGTAAAACTGGCATTGCAAAACAATAGATTGTGAAACTGAATAATAAAAGCACATACGACTAGAAAACAAGGGATTAAGGACCTGTTAAAATGACATGAATGGGGATTGGCCAACATTGGTAACCTACATACGATCATACAAAGCCAATTGAGCATTGGAAACCACCTAATATGTTCTACTCAAGCCATAATAATGTATTTTGAATTTGCAGTAGTTATACACAGTTTACTTATACTTACAGTTAATATTTTGAGTGGCTCATGTACTGAGACAACACGAGAATGGATCAAAACTTATAAACTTTGATATCTCAGTCGGTAGGTTTACAGATTATATTATGTTTCTTGTAGACCACCTGGCAGCTTTGACCCAGTCTTTATAACCATCCATATATACGTCACCGAATGGAACTAGTTTAAAAGGAAATCTTATCTGTGAATATTGCCTACAGGCGAGAAAGAGGACATGCTGCCTTTCCCATCCGCCATTTTTTGTTATCGTTACCGCAAAATTTTGCAAATCGCCTTGACGTAACCGTCATGCTATAACACCGTGAATAGGGGACCATAAGTTTACACATTCCATGTGTACGTTCATCAAAATAGTGCAATCTTAACCTCCCTAATAACTGAAATTGTTGACTCAACCAATAGAATCATTCTATGTTTGTTTATATTTGTTCACATTAATATGGAAGAAAATCTGACATTTTGCTAAAAAGATGTTATTGTAAATCTTAGAAATAATGATAAAGGTAGTATACACCACATACTCAATGGTATTGATTGTGGTTTTCAGAGACTCTCAATAGGGACTTTAAGCTTGCAATGTTTTTCACAACCTAAATGTGAATGGAAAATATTTAGCGATGCATTTGTATGGGCGATTGGTCATAGGTTGGCGTTTCGATTTTATATGCAAGCTTAATCTCCCTAATGTTAACATTAAAGTAAGAGTGTATGTTACTCATAACATTTTCTTAGGATAACATTTCTTGAATTGATGAATATGCAAAACTTATTCTTAGCATATCATCCTTCATTTCATTATTTGAATAATCAATCTGGAGATAAACTCAAATAGGGAAGTGTGTTATAACACATCATCATATAGAAACATGTTCAATGTTTTTTCAGAAGCTGGATCAAAATATTTGTCTTGACGTAACCGTCATGCTATAACACCGTGAATAGGGGACCATAAGTTTACACACAGGTTTAACTGCACTCAAACATTAAACAGTCAACTTGACAGGTATTCAGAATTTTTTGGGAAATGCTGCGGTTATGCTCCATTGATTAAACAGGGGATCAAACAGCAGGGGATCAAACAAGTCCAACCATTCATTTATGAAAACATTTTGAACTAACTTTATGGCACACTAATGACATCTTATATGAGTGTGCTGTACTAAAAGCATAGCCCCATTGGATCCCCTTATATTGGATTATCATAATCCTAATCCACGAGGAGTTCCTTATATATTTTAAGTGATGAAGCATGTGTTCAAGTACAATGTAACTTTGCATGAAAATTGTAAAAAAAATGAGGGACGATGGTGAAAATGACGATTGTATTTTGAAAAAAAGCTTGTTGATGGGTGGATTAAACATGGCTTATGAGATAATCCAATTGATCTTGAAACCATTCTTTGAATTTTTCTTAATGATTATACATTGGCCTTTCATATGCATTCATTTTTGTACAGCCAGAAACTACTAGAAAAAAATTATTTACTGTCAAAAATCTGTTGCGATACTTTCCCTCGCTCTTTGAAATAAAAAAGCAGTTTTACACAATGTTCTTCAATTTAGAAGTACGTTTATAAGCAATGACATCTTTGCAATACTTCTTACATATTATCAAACTAAAAGAAAGTTGGAATATACATACTCCTCTCCCAAACATCCTTGGTGTGTATCGTCTGGAAAAAGTGATTCTGCGTTCATGTCAAACAGCTCGGTTATCTTGCCCAGATGGAAGGAAAATGGCCTGGGGTAATCAGGGATCGACTGTAGCCACGCTTCGATTTTTGACGTGAATCCAGGATCATAAAAATCGCTAATTATTGATGCAATTTCCTCGTCACCACCCTCAACTGACAGATACGAGTTTGCATAATTTTGAGCAGTCCTTTAACATATAATGATAAGGTTGAAAAGATCTTAATTCAATATTTAAATTCCATAGGGGTTTATATGGGTAATGTTGTGATTAGAGTGCATGACAGGAAACGGAAGATAGAGATTGAATAATGGATGTAAATTCTCCAAGAGAATAAGTATTCATTTTATACCTTTGATTATTTGCAGCACTTCCAGAGGAAGAAGATGTGTCCTTTGTTGCTTCTTGATTCTTATTTTGTTTTTCTTGTGTATTCTGACTGGCCTCGAATTTACCACCACTAAATAGTCCATAGCTGGCAGAACCTTGAGACGAACCTATAAACAAAGTCTACGTGTGAAAGTTCATTAAACATAGTCTAACACTATTATTTTTAATGTCTCTCAATTTTGAATGTCTTTCGCTTCAGAGCATATCCAGACTGGGAACGTAAATTCTCTTTTTCTCGAGGTTGAAATTAATAAACAAACCAACAAATAACTTAACACTCCATCTCGTATTTTCTGACATTTATTTATGAGGACTTTGGCATACAAGGTTTCCAAAAATATGAATGTTGTGGAAAAATGTTGTGATTTTCGTCTGAGAAATATTTCCCAAAAAACGTCTGTTTTAAAATGAATTGCAGATGAAATCTAGAAGTTGGAACTGAGCACCCATTCAAGTATAGGCACCCATATCAATAATCATATGATTACTAAATACAGGTTAATTCCAAACAATTGTCCTTTTATGCAAATATTACTTGTAGGCGAAATTAGATCATACACGCTTGTTGAATATAAATACTTACTTGCGTGTGCTGCAAAGGAGTTACTCAGTAGAGATTGTATATCAGAATACGCAGCTGTGGCAAATTGCTCTTCGGTCTCTTGCTCGGACATTACCTTCGTCCTGGAGAGTTTTAAACTTCCTCCAAACTTTGCTGATTTTATAAAGTGTGTTCCCCATCTCAGCAAAAAATTCTCTTTAATTCAAAAATATTTTATTTATTATTTTAATTTCATACATCATAAAGTTCTTTTAACAGAGCGGATGATGTGTGGACCCTTGCGTTTGAGGAAGCATAATGATGAGTTTTTTCAAAGTTTTCACCACTTCAGTTATATATCCATGTACCAGTTATTTAATATTATATACGCTACTTTCTAAAGCAATGTATTAAACAAATACTGGGTGACCATAAGGTGGATATACAACCCCCTCCATAAGTTTGGCAACTTTAGCCCCCCCATTGAAGTAAGTGTCAAAGCCTCTTTACGTTTGAATTTTTATTCACTTAACCTGTGAGGAAAATACTTATATTATTGATGGAAACGATACAACCTGACTTTATTTCCAATACCTCCAATTTTTCTCATTTTTTCCTCAATTACAATAAGTCGAAAATTGATAATAAATGTGATGAATTTTTGAAAATCGACATTCCCATGTTAACCAATGGGAAATGGTAGGTTTGCCGCAAGTCATATGACATAATATCCATCCACCCGAGTCCTTGCAAAAATACGAGTTAGGCAGGCAATTGATTTTGCTAAATTTATTTAACAAAATATTGAAATGTTTCTTCAGGTTCAACAAAGTTATGGGGCTTTAAAGTCAAAATTGTTTTTTAAAAAACTCTCCCGTTGAAATAACACAAGAGTCGAAAAATTATTTTCAAAAATGACTTTGAAGCGCTGTAACTTTAGTATTCATCAAATAAACTAAACACTGAGAGTGCAGAAAGTTAGACAATTCAATTTTCTATATATAAAAATATTTTTTGCTGAATCGTTTACTGAAAATATATCCTGATTTCTGATTTGGCCCGAACCTTCCGTTTCCCTTTGGATAACATGGGAATGACGATTTTCAAAATTTCATCAAATTTTTCGTCAGTTTTTGACCTTTTGTAATTGAGGAAAAAAATGAGAAATATTGGAGGTATTGGAAATAAAGTCAGGTTACGCTTCAATCAATATTATAAGTTATTTCATCACCGGATAAGTAAATAAAAGTTCGAACGTAAAGAGGCAAAACAAAACAAAAACAAAACAACTTTTATAAATGGAATTCTATATGTGGAAGTAAAGCTGGAAATATTTCCATTATAAATTAAAAAGAAATAGTGTGAAGTATAGAATGTTTTACGTTTTTTATTTGAGGGAAAAATCAATACCCGGTGATTTTCGGCGGGAAGTGGCGTTTCGTTCAGTGGATGAGCTGCACGTGCACATATAAAAAATTAAAATGTATGATAATAGCACTAAGTATTACTACTATATTGCAATTGGATATTCAGTAACTTACGATATTTCGTTACAGATTTATAATATGACGTAGGCAGATTCAAGTAGTCCTTCAAAAGTGCCTGACTTAGATCACCGGGTGTCACTTCATCCATGAATATCTCAAACCTATAAATATGTAAACATATTCGGCTAAACGGTACAAACTATAATCAAATATAAAAATATCAAATCCCAAAAGTACAAACAAACAGTGTCAAATGATTCCCTTCTTGCCGAAGGGTATATTCTTATTTATCATGCCTCCCATTCCTTAGTTTCCGGATAATCATTTACTCAATAGGGAGGTTAAGATCGGTGTAAATAACCCATTTACCCCCCCCCCCCCGGGTTTTACCTATACGTAGTTTGTTATTACACTAAGCGGTATTTGACCTAAGTAACAGGGTTTGCATATACATAATTACCTATAAAGGGCCGAAGATAGGTAATTTTTATAAATTGCAACGAATTAACACTTTCTTTGTGATACTTCAAGATCTTCTATTTGTGTTTAATGAGATTATAAATATTTTGATTTGCCTATCATACATGTAGTAACATTGTATTATTTCAAAATAGTTCATCTTTAAAACTGTATGACTAAAATCAAGCCTGTTTCTTCTTAGTATAAGCTTTTATCTATTCAATTAATTTAAATATTTTATCTGTTTTACCTATTTTAGAGTATCAAGTTTTGTCACTTCATATAGCTAAGGATGTTTGGATTGTTTAGTATTGGCAATTCTCACAATTTTTCTTTCGGCACCATTTTAGGTAGATCCAGCAGGCAATGACATTATGGTTGAGAAATAGGAATCTAGCCGAGACTAAGTTTTCCCCTGATGACCACGTTTAGTAAATTGTGTTTCATGGATATTGGTGACGGCTTTGCAGATGGGCGTTGACCCTTTCATTCACTTATGGACTTCGATATCGGATTCTGTCTGCCGAACATAATTTGAGACTAAATGCTCTATCTTGTATGGATATATAAGCACAAATGCCAAAAAGGAAAGGGTGACTAAAAACGTTAAGGAAACCCAACAAGAAAAGCAAACTGTAAGTATAAATCTGTCATAAGAAAAGTAGACCCTATATGTCCCAAAACCATGATCTAACGTGAAAAGAAACAATTTCTAACATCCACCTCTCCCTCCAATCGAGAACCAATATCACAATCCAGGACCAGATAGACTAGGAATACCAGGGGACATTTCATTCATAATGAAGCCATTACAATACATTTGAAGAAAAACAGAAAAAATTGAGAGCCAATACTCATAACATGAAAAATAGTTGCAGATACTATAATTCTAGTACTCATAAAAGATCAGTCTCAAATTATGTGGGATAAAATCCAGTCTCGAAGTCCATAGGCAATTCAAAGGCTCAACATCCGTTCGCAAAGCCATCATCATAATCCATAAAACACAACAATTCACAATGGTCATCAGGAGAAAACTATGGCTGGTTTCGATCCCTATTTCTCAACCATTAATGCCATAGCCAGGATTCACCTCAAAAGGTACCGAATGAAAAAATTGTGAGTCCATTGCCAATTTGTTATACCATTCCTGCATCCTTCAGCATCTCAAGTGGTAAAATTTGAAATTTCAAAATTAATGACTTGTACTTTTCAGCAAAGCCCAGAAAGGATTTCTGGATACTAGATAGTATTTAGAACTATCTGACGAGTATTGGCATCAAGAAAATCAAAATATCTGAAAAAGGGTTAGAATCCGGAGTCTTGAATTGAACTTACCTAACAATATTCATTTCAAGATATGACATGAAAACTCTGGAAGACCCTGTTCTTTGCGATCCACTAGCGCTCGACCCTCCTTTTGAGTTTTGGGAATCCGCAGAGTTTTTACTGCTGATCCCTGAACTCGTTGCACCTCCAGAAGCGGAAACCGAAAGAAAGCCCTGACCACCCTTTCCAGATACTGAGGTGCCATAATTTCTGTTTATCGCTTCCTGAAATGATCCTTTGTACGAAGATGTGGACGTACTCTCTTCTAGAAAGTGGCGGAAACTTTCTCGTGACGTAAACACACGACTGTTAACGTCAGTGTCGTATATACCAACAGCATTCATTGTGTCAGGTATTTGGTTGTCCATGAAGCTACAATTATATATAAGATTTTCTATATGCAAGTAATTCCAAAATAAATTGTGTACGTGTTCCTGAACATCTAAGTGGTTCTGTTCATAAGATATGTGTTAGTGTTTCTATTCATGTAGTCTGAGTACAAAATTGTATCCTATATAACGCCATAGAATTATTAAACATTAAAAATGTACCAAAAACCCATTGCATATTAAATATAAAAAACATGTAAGATGAATCTGATTTTGTTATTAAAATGTATTTGAATTATACGAGGGGTGATCAATAAGTAATGGACGCTTTTTTACACAGATACTTTTTATAGACCAATCCCTTTGATTTTCCTACATGTGATTCATCATTCATTTATCTATCAATTCTGAAGATTTGAAGACAAAATATATAATACATATTGATATATCCTTATTTCCGTGAAGGAGGTACAGGTACCCCGGGACCGACATTTACGTCACATATTCAGTTTTTAGCCAGTTTGGTAAATTTCAGTAAGATTTGAACGTTTTATATGCAACAAGTGTTGTGTTGTTTACAATTTTTTGCTGACTGGTAACACATGAACAGAAAGTATTGTAATGTCAGAGTGTTGTATGGAAGGGGTTTGCAGGTCAATTTGAGAGAGCATTGTGGAAGAAAGGGGTGTGGAGAGAAGGGAACACCCTACTCCATATGGACAATGCACCTGCCCACAGATCTCAAAATGTTCAGAAAACAATATCCCTGGACCTCAAAATTGAGCCCTTGGCCAATGCACCATATTGTCCAGATCTGCTCACATGTGACTTATTTATTTCTATACTACTTATTTCTACAGAAAAAGGACGCAGGTTCATTGACATTGATGAAATAAAACAACCGTGCGACTGCATCTTGCTACCATGTCAGAGAATGGATTCAGCCTTGTCTCACAATCTTGAGTTAAGAGGATAGGGAATTGTGTACATGTAGCACTTGATGGAACCTATTTAGAGGGCCCCGTGGAATGAATGTGACATGAATACCACATAGTGATGATAAAATATTCAAGATCAACTATTAGGCATAACAAAATGGGGTAATTCATGACCATAATGGTATGTTTTGTTCAGCCTGCATTCAACTGCATTGCATGTTAAACAATCTAAAATAGCTTCAGAATATGTGACGTAAATGTCAGTCCCGGGGTACCTGTACCTCCTTCACGGAAATAAGGATATATCAACATGTAATATATATATATTGTCTTCAAATCTTCAGAGTTGATAGATAATTGAATGATGTATCACTGGTAAAAAAATAGAAGGGATTGGTCGATAAAAGGCATCTGTGTAAAAAAGCGTCCATTACTTATTGATCACCCCTCGTATAAAATGTATAAATGTCATAACATGTAAGTAGTATAATTGTTCAGACTCCAGATGATAATCTGGAGACTATTGTTTTTTGCCTCATTTCTTTATTAGACTCCAGATGATAATCTCCAAACTCCAAATTCTCAACAATAGCAAGGTATTCAATCAGACTATTATTTGGTCAATTAAGGTAGGAAGTCGGCTTAAACTTTTATCAAGGTCAAAGGTCAAAAACTAGGTCAGACCACTTTTACCATTCGTCCTTCTTTTTTCATCATGTTCTTGAGAATCCACAATATGGAAATGGAATAGAAATCCGACTTTCGGTTTAGATTCTACGCCATTTTGTAATTTCGAAAAGACGACATGATTGTATCCTGATTGAAAGTCAAGAGTAGCAAAGAAAATATTGAAAATCCATCCATCTATCTATTTATCGATCCATGTAATTATTTATTTATCTGTTTATTTATTTAATTATCTATTTATTTATCTATTTTATCTATTTATTTATATATATTTATCTATTTATTTATTTAACCACTTTATATATCTACCTATTCATTTTTATCTGTCTAACTTACTATCTATTTATTTATATATTTATCTATTTAATTATCTATCTTTAATTTAGAACAAATCTGTCATCTGGACTTCCAATTTCTAGTTATTTGTCTTATTCCTATAATGGAGCTAAATACCTACCTGGCTCTGTTTGCGCACTGTCTTTGTACAAGAGATTTCTTTCGGAATTCCTGTGTTACATCACCACGTCCATCAAAACCAACTCCAATGAATCCAGCAGCATCAAGCATGTCCTGAAAATCAATGGATCGTTACGATAACTCAGGCCAGAAATAAGGCAAGGTGGTATTTTTTCTTGTTTATTATCAACGCTTTTCCAAAGGGTGGGTTTCGATATGGCGAACTTTTAGAACATAAGTTTCTCTTAAACCAATCGTCAAAAAATTCGGAATATTTTACACATCGTCAATTTAATGGTCATCTTTTGAATGGTAACAATATAATTTGAAATATATATATATACTTTTCTCTAAATTGTTTAAGGAAACACATCGGACACTTCTTTTGATCTTGGTATCACATCTTCGGAATGAAATGGAACATCTATCCGAACCTCATTGGAACAAATGACATAAACACAACACAACTAAATGGTGATATACTCTGCTGGATTATTAGATTTTAACTTGTATCATCAATTTTAATATTGAATTCGCTGTTGGTAAAGGGGTGTGGGCATCTAGAGCACTCTTCCTATCTATCCAAACTTACAGTTTAAGATGTTTAAAGTACCAAAGGTGTTTAACTTATACAGTCTTTACTGTATATCACTTACTAAACACAAAGTTGACATTCGTTTATCAGCATAGCACGGGTCTCCAGGTTTGTAATTCGTGAGAAAGCATCCGTTGACAAGGGCTGGACCAACACCATGTGGATACATGTAAGCATTACCAGGGTTACTATCTTCACCTCGACTGAAATTTTTTTACATTTACTCGTTAATTTTTATTTATTTGCGTACACTTTTACAGCAGTGGCACATGAGTCCTTAGGTCCCAATGCGGCATATTATATATTAAAATCACATAGGATAACATTCAAATGATAAAACAATAACTTTTAAAAACTTCAATCATACATCTTATTATTTTAAAATATCATTATATATCTTTACTAAAAATGCCTTGAGCATACCTCAAATAAAATACCTTGTTCTTTGCCCAATGAGTCAATCACCCAAAACCCTATTCGTTTTGCATGCAAGGCTTGAGAATGAGAATTCTGATGATACGTCGAGGTTACATTTAGATGGAATTTCTTAAGGAAAGTGATTCTATGATCTAATGTTGAAGGACATATAAATAAACGGTGTTCTATGGTGTCTTTAACATTCATTGAACATGAGGAACAGAAACCATTCCCTTGACCTCTTCGTTCAAGGTCTGTGTTTAAATCAAGGCAGGCGACCCTTGCCTTAAATTTAATTGTCTGCCCATAGAATAATTTAAATGGATGACTTTTAAGGGGTTTTTATAGGTCTGAAGAGATGGTTTATCATCCATACCTTTTTGTATATATTGGCCCTAGCGTTCATTTGAAATCTTCAAAAAGAGGTATACCATTCAATATCATTGGGAAAAAATAACAGCATCGAGACCCTTTTCCGTTAAAATATTCTTAAGATGAAGTAGATAGGGCCACTTGGCTTTGATATTCGTCTTCAAATCTATCAAGAGAACTTCAATTATATCATAATGAAGGCCATCTTTTAAAGAAGTTTTCAAATATAGGTAATCGAATTGTCTTTTATAAATCACAATATATGGATCCGCCATTTTTACAGCTTACTCGGCAGAAAAAATGGAGGCCATTTCAAAATGAAATTTCTTCAGCTAAATTAAGTCCTATATACAATCGACTAAGACGGAAATACGAGCTGATATTCTGCAAATGTATGCATAAAGGTATTTATATGTTTCATATACTTATGCCGAAACAACTGTGCGTTTGTCACCATGCATTTGCAAGTTTTGAATACCACGGCTGCTGTAACAATCACTCAAAGCCAGAACATACAGAAGGCTTTGGAACTAAGATACCTTTGACATTTTTGTTGCATATTCCTGAATGTTCAAACAGTGGTAATTGTGATTAAATTCTCCTCAAAATTTTAGATATAATCTTTTTGTCCCCCGCCCCCAATCATTCAATTTCAATAATTCGATTTATATAACATATTATTCAGTCCGTACTTAACGTTTACTTCCGTTTTAAATTCGCGGCAAGAAATCGAATTGTTGTGTTGAAGCAAAGACAATCATGTGACAAAATTAACTTCAAGTTGTTTTGGTAAAAAAAATGCTTTTAAAATAAAGTTATACCTCAAAACAGGCTAGAAATAGGGGACACACTTTTTTCAAAGGACACACTGCGGCAGCGTTATTGAAATCAGACAAGTAATAAAAAACTTCTTACTTGAAAATGGTAAATTTGATAAAATTAATCGTTGAATACATAATCTTACCTCTCACTCTCATCATCGTCGAAATTTGTTGTAATTTTGACGCCAGGTGGTGCATATCCACTGTCATCCATGTAGCCTTTGCCTGGGATTATGTTGATCTGCGCCTTAAATAACATGCAATTGTATGTACGACCTTGATGTTCTTCATAAGTTCTTTACTTACACTTATTTCAATGTGGCACATTTTAAAAATCCACCAAGTTAAATCTTCACCGAAATAAAGATTATTTTGGCTCAGAATATCTCATGTTAAACGCCAGTGTTTGATTAAACTGTAAAATCGTATGTGATACATAACTTCTGACAAGTATATACCATCTTTTTAATTTAGTTCTGTTCACGTAATATTTTTCACACAAAAAACAAGAGAAAATAATATTGATATGGTTTAGTTTGGTTTGGTTTGGTTTAGTTTCGTTTAGATTAGTTCATATTTATAGTGGTCGGCCTAACAAACAATTAAATAATACGTTACAATACAATGAATTGCTTACAGACAACTCATCCCCTAGACAACTCATCCCTGGACAACTCATCCCCTAGGCAACTCATCCCCTGGACAGCTCATCCCCTGGGCATCTCATCCCCTAAACAATTCATCCCCTGGACAACTCATCTCCAAGACAACTCATCCCCTAGACAACTCATTCTTTATCACATGAAGCCAAGGTTTTGGGAAAATAAATATTTATTAAATACAGCTTGAATCATTCTAAACATTATTTTTCACTTTATTGACATAAATAAAATGGTCAAACGGTGCCATCTAAACTTTCACATTTTGTCCTTATATTACATGACTTCATATTTCATGACAAAAAATAAAGTTTTCTCTCCCGGGTTTTCTCTCTGCATGATTTTGAAACATTTACTTCAGTTACTTCATCTGTGACTGCTGTGAAAAAATGTCTTTGGATTAAAGAATATTTGAACTTTGAACAACACACATATAATGACATCAAAGCAGCTTAGGACATCAAAGGAGCTTCTTCAATCAATGTTAACATAATATTGAAATTGTATATAAAAAGTAAAATTAAAGGTAAATATTTACAGAACAAATTACACGGTGTCCAACCCAAACGTTCTTACATGCACGACGGAGCGTTTCATTACTGAAACTAAACAAAGAAACGCTCCGGAGTAGGAACTGGCGGGTGGGAATGATGAGCCGTCTGACGATATCCCCAATTATAGGTATAAGAGGTATGAGTTAATTCTTTCGAGTATACCATTCGATGCGTGTGATATTCATTTTGTACTTGACTGGCTAATGACGTCGAAGCAGTATCCCAGATGCGAGTAGAAGAAATCTTTTTTTTGTAGTATTTATCTTATTTCAGTTTAAACTTCTTACATTTTACATTTTAAAGTGTCTCACATATTCGATCAAAATTTGCCATGCAAACATGTTAGTCTACTTTACTGGCCCCCCTTGCTGTAACAAGGAACCCAAAACACATTAAGACGTAAACATAAACCAATTAGTCACTTCACTATGAAAGTGGGGGTGTTAGCAAATGTATATTAGGCCATAAGAAGTAGATTCTTTGTTTTGCGTCCTGGCAAAATTCAAATCATGCAAGGGTACAAGGAAAACAAACACAAACTCAAGAAAAAAACACAAACTTGTTTGCTGAGAAATATATACATTTTAGGGGCATAAAAAGGATGACATCCCAATCTGCAGTGATTACAAACACATATCTATACATTTTATACAATATATAAAAATATAGCTATTATTCAAGGGTAAAAAATAAGAAAAAACACAATGTATGTCAAATAATTATAACACTGTCAATTTTGACGCACATCAAATTATCCGCCATTTCATCTGATTCTGAAATGCGATGGTACTTTCAGACCCTTGTGATTGCTATTTGGATGTGTTTTTTTCTGATTTACTCAAAATCGTGCAAGCAAGGGGACGCAAAACAGAGGATCTACTTCTTATGACCTTAGCAGAAAACGCTGTGTATTGTATTGTATTGTATTGCCTTTTATTCCTCCTTTTATAGAAGAGTACAATCAACGTGCAAATATAAAACTCACAATATAAAATTACATAAATTCAACAAACATCGAAACATGTGAACCAACAAACAAATAAAAATAAATAATAAAAACACATGGATGCGATATTCTTGTATTGTTTTCTATTACATAATTGCAATCATGTTATGAGTTAAATTGAGTAAGGTACTGGACAAGATTAGAGATCTTAATTGCACAATATGAAATGTATTGCTCCCAGATTTCTTGCTTACAATTTTGGAGGACATCAATTGTGCCTCCCAATAAGGCTTCTATCAAAATATTGTCTTCAGCATTAAATAATGCAACAGAATCAACGGGATCTAGAATATCCACGATGCCCTCAAACAAATTGTCTCGAAGTGAAATTACTGCTTGGCATTCTAAGACAGCATGTTTAACTACATCATTAGTTTCTACTTTGCATGCTTTACATGTCATTTTTTCATACTCGGTGTTTAGGAAAATCAAATTCAAAAGTTGCGCGAATTTCCAAGTTAATGCTGGGTACTTGAGTCCGAGCTTCCAATGAATAACTGTTTTATATTCGTGTTGGATGTTTTTATAACGAAATGTCTTAGGATTATTCATGACAGACTCTCTCCATAGAGACTCCTCTCTATTTTGAATTTGTGCGACGATGTAACTTTTCCACTTCTGTTTGGCAGGGAATGATCCAGCACGTATAAATTCTGAGACTACTTCTTGTAAAGCAGGGTATTTCTTACAAATATCAAAGACGTCCGAGATAAAACCTGTGCTCGTAAGATGTGCGCCATGCCGTACAATAGAGAGGTTTCGCAAAACGAATTAGCTAAAACGTATCCGCATCCGTATCTCGTTACGTTTACGGATACGTATTTCGATAATTTTCGTTTCGCAGTTCGTTTTTTGAAGTACGTAATTATAAACGCATCTCAATCCGTATTTAATAGTAGTGAAAACTAGGGTCAAATAAAAGGCTTCATCTGCACTAAGATTTCAAAACACCATTGGGAGTGTCAGCTTTCAGAATCACAACTCCAAAAGTATTTTTGGTGAGTGCAAAAATACATATTAGCCCTTTCATCCCCAAGGTGTCATTTGTTAATTTCATGACATCAATTTCAAAATGAAGAATATCCTCTAGGCCAGAAAAGGTTATTTCTAGGTTTACAATAACCAATTCAGTGTCAAATTATACTTTTGGGAATATTTAAGGGTTTGAAAACAGAATAGCTGAATAGTGGTCATTAACCTATTACAACCAAACACAACAACAGTACAATAGAACATAACCCAGTGTCAAAATACACAGAACGCAATAGAGCATAACCCAGCACCAAAGCCAGTATAGCGCAACCTGACTTAACCACCAAAACACAACCAACTGTCAGATTAACACAATATGTCACAACCCAATAATAAGACAACAAAGACAAACACAACCAATTGTTGAATTAACTCAACACAATTGTGCACAATTCAACACTAAACAATAAAAACACAATCAGGCACAACCAATAAAACACAACTAAACTAACAACCATGAAAACACATCGAACTGTGAAATTATCACCACACAATTTGTCACAACCCAATGGTAAATCAACAAAAGCAAAGACAGCCCATTGTTCAAGAACAGAACACAATTTTTCAAAACCCAAAACAAAACAATCAAAACAAAATCAGGCACAAACAAAAAACTCTTTAAAATTGTAATACCGAGATACACAACTAACTTAACCCAATTGGAGAGAACGCCAATCACAAAACGCAATCAGACACAACAATATACCTCAACCGACTAGCCACAACCAGCTAGCCAACCAACATAACATATTCACAAGAGAAAACAACCCATAATAAGATTAACATAACACAATGGGACACAACCCGATACTAAATCACCAGACTAACAACCATCAAAAGAGAACCGAGTCTCAAACGTACACAACACAATTCGGCAAAACCTATACCTACATGACACTAACCCACCATTACACAACCAGGCTTAAACAAATACTCAATCGATTTACTCAACCCATCAAAACACAATCAGGCACAACCAATAAACAACAACGAAACGTTGATACCGATTTACTCAACTAAGTTATTCCAACTGGAGACACTCGCACAAAACAATCAGGGACAATCCGATATCTACTGAATATGTACTTGAATAACAACCCCCCCCCCCCCCTTCCCTATCATCACAAGGCTTCTAATGAAGAACACATCATGGACCACTACCCAAGAGTTAGGAACATCTGGTGCCCCTACCGTGACTCATATGTAAGAGAGAAGATCCGTTACAGGATCTGGATGTCAGGCATGTCTTTACAAAAATGAAAATAGGAAATGATACGCCAATATCATCATCCTAGGATCAAAGAAATATACTCTACCTGTTACATAATCACTGACGGTGGTTCCGGGAAGCTTGGGCACTAAGCTTTAGTCTCCTTGGACCCCCAAACGAGGCCGCTTACTATTTGACATAGATCGCATCGGCTTGATGCGTGTTCAAGTCATACCACGGGAAGAAGCTACCTGGCTAGACATTTTTTCAAAATCATTCAGTTTTGCATCATACTGAGCACTTTTCGGGAGTTTTAAGCCAAAAAGCTCCCCCTTGCCACAAAATATATGTTCAGGTGGCCTAGCTGCTAACCATGGCCATTGGTTTGATGTCCCTAAGAAATTGACTACGGTATTACTATTGACCCCAGAAACGATAGACCTTACATCTGCCTATAAGCAAATGTGACTAAAGCTTTATTCGTACATATTGCAGTACAGGCCCCTCTAGTCCCCGATCTGATTTCCAAAAGGGCTCTAGAAAAGGGGTTTTGTTGTCCGGTACTTTCCCACATAAAATGATTGTACCGTTTGAAAGAACAGACTTCCCTCTTAAAGAAAACACCTCTTCTATTGATGTAAACAGGGGCAAAAGGCACTAAAACGGGGTTAGACAAGGTGGCATTCTGAAGTCTCACTTTCTTGTCATCACGATTCCAGGTAAACCATTAGACGGATTTACTTCAAATTTTCACACATGTTACATGGTAAGAAGTTGTAGAGCTGA